TCGGTTGCACGTCAGAAAGTATCCAGTTAGACAAAATAAACCCACATTTTTTTTTTTTCATTTGGGCGTGTTAAATGATTTTTGTTGGTCTGGCTTGTGAAACCCTAAGATCTGAATATTTGCTTTGTTTTACCTTAGTTCGAAGCGCAACCAACTCTACGGACTGATGAAGCCACTGAACCAGCGCCTGGAGCGCGAGGTCAAGCTGCTCGTTCTCTTTCTGTGCCTATGCGGTCGGGGAGCCACTAAATAAGCTAGGCTTCATAGACATCTTGGTGCTTCAAATGATGGTTGTCAGTTATCTGAAGCTTTATCTGAAATCATAGGAAACGCTTTTCGGTACTCTACAAATGTTTTGAACAGTTCGCGACAAAGCAAAGCAATATTACGTGAACTTTCTGACACCGAAACTAATACTGAGGAAGTCGCACTTTTGAATCGTGACGATCGGCAGTTGCGTTTGCTTTTTACTAACCATCAAGACGGTGACGCCCACAACAATGTCGGGGAAAAGAGGGCCGATACTCTAAGCCATGGTGCTCTAAGCGTAGCTGAATTTGTTTAGCTCACTAGGCTAAACCACGTGCGGTGGGGGATCGTTGGCTGTGTTGTGGCCGCAGATCAGAGCACGGGGAGATATGCTCGAGCACGAGCTCCGTTCAAAGCACGGAGCTCACGTTGCAGAACCTAGGGACTAAATCCCCTCGATATGTTTGCGTTGGCCTTTCAAATAACCTCAAAGGTGCCAGTGCACGAGGCCCGTGTCTCGAGCGGCCCTTGGAGGCAAATGGCGGCACAGCACTAAAATGACTGGCCCTTGAAAGCGAATGGCGGCGGAGCACTCACTCGTGGCACGCGTCTAGCGCGTTTCCGCAACAGTAGTTGGCGGTACTTGCAAAAAACGCCTTATCAGGGGGCTCTAGCAGGGACCAGCTGGGTTCAGTCGACCATCTGCATCCTACCGTCGTGCGACCGTGCATCACGTATACTGCGTAATGCACGTTAAAGACCCCGAGCTAACAGTTGTACTGCACTTTTTATAATCTACAACGGGTAAAAATGTCGCCCTACGAAACTCTTGCTCTCTAAAAAAACTAACGACAAATTTTGAATGCGCCGTCACAATGCATTTTTGATGTGTGTCCGCGTGTTCGCGGTCTTTTTTTCTTTGTGCCTACATTTTTTCTATTATGCGGCTCTTATGGTGAAACAGACTATAGTTGCTGGACTTCTGGAAAATTATTATATAACTAAGAAAATGGCGCGAGAACGCAGAAGTCAAAAAAAAAATCATAAGCGCACTTGGTAAAAATAATTGAAATAATATATTTGATTATAATTGTGTTTCAAAGGTTTGAGCGCACCAAAAGCTATGAAAGCGAGCTCGATGCTTTTGACGGTGCGCTTGTTCACTGGAAGTGTAGTTCAGGGCAGTATGCTCGCACTTGTACGTTCCGCTTCGCTCGCAGGATAAAACCAAATACTTTACTGGTACATAATGTATTTAGTGAAACAAAGCTTACCATCTGTATATAGGCAACGCCCTCAGTTTTCGCGTTGTTACACGCTTGTTTATCATTATTGTTTTCGTTTCCCACTGCGATTCAGTTCGGACTCTTTTGTGTGCTACATCCATTAGAGACCAAGGTAACCCAGGAGCAATCTATTTCGCAAATTGTAAAAAAAAAAAAAAAATCTATGCAACTTATTACGTGTGCCACGACCAACACAAAATATTCTAAGCTTCACATGTGACCGCTTGCCTGAGTAAACATTGTTGTTTGTCCGTCACAATTGCGATTGTATGAAATCACGTGGGAAAAACTCGTTCTAAGCACGCGACCGTTACTTATAATTGACGCTGGGATGATTGGTAGCTGTCAGCATGGTAGAGTTTTTCTATCAACCGAGAGTTAGAACGTTTCCTTCTTTCTATTGTCAGCAATCAGGACACAACTTGCACCAAATCTGAAGGTAATAAAGTACTATGGAGCATTCAAACATATCGATCTGAGCAATATATATGTACAAGCTTTAGCTTTTGATGCATCCTTAACTTTCGATACGGTCAACGCTAGTGTAAAATGTAGGGTTGTTTCATTCTTAATCAGCGTACCATGTGCGTGCTTACACTCTATATTTATACAACGTCAAACTCTACTCGTTTGCACCTTTTTCATTTTTGAACACCACTACTTGCGCGTGTAAATCACCAAAGTAAAACTGGTACAGGATGTCAGAAAAAAAAATTGCAGGTTTTTTTTGTATTATTGGAAAAATACACTACGCATCGCCGAACGCTCATTCTCAGCCCAAAGGTAGCGCTAGAATTCATTACCAGATGCGAAAGTTTCAGCCCGAATGGGCACCTTATTCAAAAGTTATGAGTGATTTTCTGAAAATTTCAATGGGAACATGGAGCCTATTTTTGTCCGTTTTCGATTTCTGGTGCCATAGAGCCCCATATGTTCGAAAACTTCGTCGGCCGCCATTTTCTCATTGAAAGTTTCAGAACAACCCTAATAACTTTTGAATAAGGCATCGGATCGGGCTCTGGTTGTGACGTCTAGCGCTACCTTTGGGCGAAGAATGAGCGTTCGGCGATGCTTAGTTTAATTTCGCGGTAAAAAAAAACAAAAAAACTAACTTTATTTTTTGTCAACACACCGTACATTGCTTAAACTACGTGCAAAAGCTATTCACAGACCCCGAATCTTTGCCTGGCCAGTCATTGCATTTATTACTGAATTCATATTAAAATTAATTCTTGTCATTTATTGCTGTGAGTAAATTTTTAACCTAGGAAATTATTTATCATGATACCAGCACCAGTCCTACTTTGAGTTTACCAAACTCAACATCTAAGCCTAAGTATAATTTTATTTTTGTGTTTTCCAGTCTCGTGGTTTTGGTCAAAATAAACACCCAGCTACTTAAAATGAGACACCTGACCGCCCAAAAAATAGTTTATTTTTTTCATTCTTTGGGTAGTTAGTTCCTCAAACTAGAATTTTGGAAACCCAAGTCTATCACGTCATCACGTTTTCCTGGAAATCCACAAAGAGCCAAACACATGCACGTAAAAATGGCCGGCCCGTCATATTGTCGCCCGCAGAGCCGAGAAATTGACGCTCAGTCACGGACTTCTAGAAGATTCACGTTCATTCTTGCACCAGACGTAACTTTCGCCCTGCTTTCTTGTTTTCTCGAAAGTTCTAGTTCATCCTCGCCCCGAGAACGCGACGCTTGAACCTTCTTTGCCGAACTTTCGATATGGTGACGCACTGTAGATAAGCAGCTGCCCGCGACCTTGTCGAGTCAGTCTCGCTCTCGCCCTCTGTTACGCTGCCGAATCGCCGCCTGCTTTTCTGCTGCCTCGATGCTCTTTTTTTGCTTTTTTTGTTTGCCACAAGTTTTCTGATTAAACCTTTATTTTTCAGTTCACTGTCCGTCCTCTCGTCACCTTCATTCGTGTCAATATAAATCTGGTCACATTAAAATGTGTGTAATTGGCCTCTGAAATCTCCGATAACGACGCACAGGCAATTTTATAATTTACAGCGCGTCGGTGGTTTGGTTGTGCATGTGTCTCGCCATTTGGCTCAGGACGACTTTCGCGTTTTGTTCTGCCCTCATTTGCTCGAGACGTGAGCTCGGAGCGTAGGCCACTGCCCCCTTGCACGAGAACTGGCGCAGCCGTGCGCGTTCCAAAAAAGCTCGTGCAGAGAAAAACAAGCGAAGAACTAGGGATGTCAAATCCAGGATATAGAAAAATACGCAACTGCATTGAAGCGCCACCACACGATTTCTCGCATTGATGTACAGGCCTGGAAGGCGATCCCACCGCCATCTGTTGGTTCAGAATCAGACTAACCAAGGGTGGGGTAGCACCTTAAACCTCAAAGTAGAAATGGCACATTCGCAGTACATCATTAAGCAAACAAACAAAGAAGTACAAAACAATTAGGCATGCAGGAGCAAAACCAGCCATTAAAGCATTTCTGTGATAAAACAAGCCAATTCATATTTGGCTAGCACGATTTCGCTAGCGGATCAAAACCTACGTACTTTCTTGTTAGGATAAAACAACATAAAAGTTACTTCAAATGTAATTCACAAGTTTTTTACGGTAATTAATAATTGTCTTAATTACTTTTCATTTGTGTAATCTCTACTCAAATTACTCTTGAGGTTAATACTCAGTAATTTAACTTAATTACTTTTTTTGAGTAACTTGCACATGTCTGGCCAGGGAGAGTGCCTGCGTGTGCGCTCTGTTTAGGGTAGCCTGGGTGGTGACATCTGACCATTGTGCTCACAACGCTTCTTTTTGTTCAGGAGCGCGTGAAAACGCGTCCCCCGACACGTGGTCTCTGCATTGGCTGTGTTTTGCCGGTGTTCTTTTACAGGCTATATTTTTATATTCTCACAGTGAGCGATTGCCGTCAGCATCGGATAAAAAAAGGACAACGCCCTAAAGGGGAGTATATCATAGCAAATCAGACTACAGATTGTTATTGCTTGATGGAGAAATTCAAATCCAAGCTCACATCCAACTTCTTAATTTTCCCCTCTATCAACACTCTATCTATCTCTACCAATAATTTTATCAGGAACGCCTGATGTTTCAAGCGAGATATGATTGTAACGACAAGCTGTCACATCTGTCAGCATGGATTGTGAAAAAAAAATTCCCAAAGCTTGTTTAAACATGCGAAATCTTTATATGAGGGATCTGACAGGATTTCTGAAGATTCCTGTTCACTAATGAACTGTGTTCAATTGTGTCATATTAATATTTCGTCATGTGCAAGATATTCTGACTTCAAGTGATCAATGGAACGAGCGCTCGGCATCTATCTGCAATGATCTAATGATTGTTAAGTAGAGTGTTACCTTATTCTCAGTATGTTTTACGGGTAAGTATTTATAACAAGTATGGTTCTCTGGGTACAATGCTCAGATCTCACGTACGTTTCTCATGGCAAGTTTCTCTTTAGCCGGTGCCAAGTTTAGAAGAAAACTGAATCTGCTCTTCTTTGACCTGAAGACGGCAGAGGTGCCGGAGGAGAGCAAGCATAGAGCAGGAATCGACTTGGCACGCAACCTCATCCAGCATCTCTGGAGTCAAGGTACAAAACATATTACAGCAAATGAACAAAAAAACTTATTGCGCGTTTTGGCTTTACTGTTAATTTTAAGATTTCTCTTGGGCTCTTGGTGTGATTTGTTTGCCGTTGTTGTTTTATTTTTAGTAGTTTTTACTTTTCAAAGTGCTTTTGTTTATTCCACTCCTAGACAAGTCTTTGACTTTTTGGACCGAAAATATGTCACGTAAATAAATAAATACGTTTTGTTTGCGATAAGTTCATATATTTTGAAAAATGATGCTTTTAAAAAGTAATTGTGACCATACTTCTTCAATATCATGCCACGAAAAATGTTCCGTACGCTGAATCTGCCTGCAGTTGCCTACGTTCATTGTAAGTTCCGCCCGCAGAAAACATAAAATGAATTTTCGAGTAAAGTCGCTCGTTGAATGCGCTTTTGAGAGCAATAGAAATGACCATTAATAAATAGACCTCCAACCCTCATTGTGTCGATAAAAAAAAAAGTCATAGCATAGCGCATTTGGCACTTCTTTATTTTCAGTGAGTCCCAAAGACATGGTAAATGTTTTAATATCCATCCAACACGTCTCTGACAATAAAGTCCTCAGAGGCGCCATTGAGACGATCAAGCGCTGGGGAGGCCCGCTCGCTCTCAGCAAAATCGGTAAGGCAATATTTCTTCTTTTTTTTTTATTATTGCGCTTTTATTGTAAAAAGACCGGTCTGAAGTTTTGTTATTATTTTCCCTTTATAAACAAAAAAAAAATGATTTCAAGGATACACCTTTCCGGAGTTCATGACTCAGGTGAAAAATGCGAAGCACTATGCTGGCGACACATGCGCTGCGTCAATATTTTGCGGAAGAGAGTGGCTGCGCATGCTCACAGCGCTTTGCACTGCTCAGATGGCAGCGTGTAGAGGACGACTCTTGGAATGTTTTTTATATGCATGAACAAGTATAGATTTGACGGTCAGATAACGAGCCAGTTACGACAACAGTGTCTCGCTGTGCTATAAACTACTCAACCATAATTACAGTTAGACTAGTTCGCATTTTTTATATATTTTTGTGTATTAAAGGTGTTGCTAATCGGGCATAGTTTCATAGGCGCCGACCATGGGGAAGCTGGGAAACTGACCCCCCCGGGTCAGTTTCCAGGAATTCCAGGAAAAACGGGGCAGGGGGGGGGGGGGGGGCGGCAGAGACCCCCCGGCAATACCAATCTCCCCCCCCCCCCCTCCCCCCCTCCTCCCGAGCTTTTGGGAAAAGCAAGTACCGTCGCCTCCGGAACCTCTGGGTGCACCTCATTAATCTCATCTGTGCGCCCTGGTGCCCGCACATATCGATAGATGGCACCCAGTGGATAAATTGTTCTAACTATTCGTGCAGTCCTGCTAGAGGACCCTACGTAGCAATTAGCAAACACGATAAGGGCTAGTGCTGGAAATTCCTTTGAAAGCCATTGGAAGTAGATGGGAAGGACGACAGCGGCAGTGCACCCCTAGCGGACCTGCAGCCTATGGAGGTAGACAACATAAAACATTTTGTAAGCCCCATTTCGTTTTCCCAAATGTTGAAACAATTCATTATGGTCAGTGCGCTTGAACCACGGAACTCCCTGATCAGAACTTCAATGATAGCTAAATTATGGGGTCACAAAAGCAGACATTTGTTTAGGTATCACGCCGTCGGCATGCTTATTCTACGTTATCCAGGGGATCAAACACGTTTGAGATGCGAAATTACAAAAAAACAAAAGGTGAAGGGGGTGGGGGCGCCCCCACCCCCTTCCCACCCCCGGTAAATTGACATCTGTCCCCCAATGCATAGTTTGCAATTTTATCGACAGTCGTCGACAGAGGCGAACGTTACGGCGTGATTGTGGCGCGATTACATGTAATTGCGTGACAGTGAACGAGGCAACTTAAGTCACTTTCTTCGCTGCAGCGAACTAGTTAACTAAAATTATATAATTATTTTTGTCTACTACTTTCTTTGTAAACATATTTTACTTAGATGTTTGCAGCGCGGCTTCGAGGTGCGTAATATGTGTTGTATTCCAAGGAACACATTTTTGTTTCGACGAAGTTAGTATCGCGGCTCACTTGCCCGCCACACGTTATGATTAGGTTAATGTGAGTATTATTTTTATAGAACGCGAATTGAATACAAACAGTTAGCTTAAAATATCGCATGAAAAAAAAAAACTTCCTAAGAGCAGCATTTATATTTTTTTATATTGAAAGACCACAGGTAAGTCGATCAGCATAAAAATGCACTTAGAACTCGCGTCCTTTTCTTCTGACAGGAGCTCGGTATAACCCGAGAGGTCCGTCAGCGTGGGTTGATCTTTTTCAGACGTACCCGCAGTAATCTATCGGCATTCGTTCATCGACGCTGAAGTTTCAGATGGTTAAATCAAGGCCTTGCGTTACTTGGCGGTGTTTAAAATATTGAGTTGCCTGTCGTACACTGCGCCATTGATGCCGTCACCCTTGGAAGTATTTCCAAATGGCAGCCCTCCCCCTGCGTCTCTTGCCTTTGGCGCTGTCTTCCCATCATTCCTTTGCTTTGCAGACTACTCACCGCAGTCGCCCCCGTTCCCCGTAATACAAGTGGGCGATGTAACGCAACTCCGGACGCGTTCTATACCATAGTAATTAAATGAGTTGCGTCGAAGGTAAATAGTCCCGAAGGAACGCTAGAGACGCCTATTTCCGTAACCGAATCGCCGATTGGACTTTCTGAGCACAAAGCAGCAGACCGAACACCCATCATTTTTGCTGTGTTCGCTGCACCGACACCCTGACACACCTTTTTAATCGGTGGACACCCACTTCAATCAGCAATCAGCGACGACGGCAATATACATGTAACCATAGCGATTGCCGAGACAGTCACCTGCGAATCGGTGTTTTTTTAATTGTTGCGTGTATAAGGCCGTGAAACGGACAACGGGGTCATGGTTCATTTCTTGTGCGTGAATCAGTGCATTTGTATTTGCTGTTTCTTGCGCATGGGAAGAATGTATGCTGCGCTTGTTGGTTTTAAACGTGATGCTCGTAAAAATTATCCCTAGGATAAAAATATGTTCCTAAGATTATCAGCATCTATCTAAGGGCGTTCACCCGTATTCTCATGCTATAGGAGCATCCTAAGGGTGTTCCCATAACTTAAAGAGGCGATGAAACAAGTTTTGTATATGCGCAATTACCGCTTAGAGCGAATTCCTGATGTTAATGACCTATGAAACACGTGTTCGTTTTGAACCACACGCATTAGAAATCGTAGAAAAATTGAAAGAAGAACGAGCAGCGTCCCACTCCCGCAATACAAAACAATACATTGCACGGCCCCTTTAAAGGGGACATGCAACGGCATTCGCTTGTAACGTTGTTTACTTTACACGAGCTTACTGGCACTAGTTGGATGCAAGTACACTCTCACGCAACGCCACTGACAAAGTAACTCCTTTGTTGCAGTGTAATTTCATGGACAAAAGATGGCGTTTTCTTTCGAGCTCTCCTTCGCAAAACTTGATGACGTAGCTCTAGACTTGAAGTACCCCCGCCATGACGATACTTGAACGCGGATCATGGATTGGGGCCGAGTATTGCGTGAGCACTCGATTTGGGCTTGTGATAATCAGTAGCTCTACAAGCGTTCGGCTAGTTTCCCATGTCCAATCGCTGCAATCACGACAATAGCCGAACCATGACAATGTCTGGGACTTGGCGCTTGTGCTGTGCTTTGCAAACCCCAGCTCGTGGCAATGATCAACATTGGCGGCATATAATCGGCTCCAAATCACGTGGCTGCTTGTTCGGGCTGCCAGTTAAAGGGTATAGACGCTTTGCAGCAGCTGTGCATGGGCGCCGCCATAAGTGACCTTCAGTTTTTGTTCCCCCTTATTACGTTTACTTCACTTCATTATTACCATAGCAGGCCAGGTTATTGACATCTTAGATTTTATTCTGTCTTGCTCCCCAGCATTGGCCTTTGTGGAGGCTCGTCCACACCAATTTCAGTGGCTCGGTATCTCGGTAAAACAAGAGAAGGTCAGCAATGGCGGCTGCATTCTGGCGCGTGTGTAAAGCGTCTATAATGCTGCTCGTCTCTCTTTAACTTTTTCTGCGACTTCTATTACCGGAGGTGAAAACCGATGCGTGTGTTTCCGAAGTCATTAACGGGATTCGTTCCAAGCGGGATTTGCGCAAAGTACAAAAATCGTTGCATCATTCCTTTAAAGGTATGCTGAAGTATAGCCTCCTTTATACTGACAAAGCCTGACAGATCGCCACGAGAGCAGTCTTGTACACGTTACTAAAAAAAAGTAATCGATTACAATTACTATTACTCTTGGCTAAAGTATTCGATTAGATTACTTGATTACTTGACGGCAAAAGTAATTGGACATTACTTAAAGAAGTAATCGTTTCTTTTCCGATTAATTTATTGTGTGAAGACACATCTTTACCGCTCATAACATTGAACTACTTCCAACCTATATTTCGCATTTGCACGAGTATTGAAGAAGAAAAACTGGCTCCCTCTTCGTGGTCGTTGCGCCTTCACAATGCGGACACAAGCCTAGAATTCGTTTGAAGACGTTTAATGGTTTGGGCGTTCGCCAGTGTGTGTGTGTGTGGGGGGGGGGGGGGGGGCGGTGGGGGTTCTAGATCTTCCTAAGCTTGAGCAAGTGTTGTCCCTCAAAGTTTGCGTCGCTCATTTTATTATTCACATGTGAATGAGCTCGCATGTTATACAAAAGAGGAGCAGCTCCAGGATTTGAAACGGATCATGTGTAGTATCCATTAGCGGAAGAGATCGCCCCGACCACTTCTGAACTTGAAACATTGCTTGTCACAAAGACCACGTAGGGGAAATGGGGAAATATTTCAACTGGCTTTGTTTTTTCAGTGGTCTCACTCTCACTCTCACTCTCACTCGCCGACGTCGTCCGAGAGGAAGTTCACCGAGCTTTCCATCCCGAGGTTGCCGTCACCGCAGCAGCACAGCAGGAGCCAGCCGTAAGCTACGCCGAAATGCTCCGCCGAGCACCATCAGCACCGCGTCCGTACATGGCGCCTCCCGGACGTGTGCTTCCAGAGCCGCAGCATTCCCGACGCCAGGAAGATCGGGCACACGTTCGTCCAGAACAAGTTGCGCCAAGGAAGACCGACGTGTGGAGGACGGCTGATCGACGCCCGTTGTGCTACCACTGCGGGGAAGCCGACCATATCTACCGACGATGCCCCTACCGCCAGCTCGGCCTACGAGAGTTCGCGCCCAACGACCCTCGACCACGTCTTGGAGAGCGACCTCGGGACATCGAGGACTACCTCCGCCGCTCTTCAACTCCTGAGTCGTCTCCCCGCCGAGTATTCCGTTCGCTATCTCCCCGACGCTCGCCATCGCCCTTCCGCCGGTCTCGCCGAGACAGCCTGTCACCCATTGCGTCCCGTCGGGAAAACTAGGCGCGGCAATGCCGGGAGGTGGTGTTGCCGAAGACGAACGATGCCAAGATCCTCCAAGATCGTCGGAGCTCTCCCACTCTAACGCCGCAACGCCCCGAAACGACGTTTCTGTAACAGTGTCGAACAACCTCAACGTTATCATCGACGGCCACGACGCGACAGCACTCGTCGACACCGGAGCGGATTACTCCGTTTTGAGTGGGAGACTCTCTCGTCGCCTTCGGAAAGTTACGACGTCGTGGGATGGACCACAGATACGAACCGCCGGCGGACACCTCATCACGCCTGTCGGCAGGTGCACTGCTCGCGTTGAGATCCATGGTGAAACCTGCCCTGTCAAGTTCGTCGTTCTGCAAGACTGTTCGAGAGACGTTATTCTCGGAATGGACTTTTTGTGTGAATACGGCGCCATCATCGACCTTGGGGAGAACAAGCTGACGCTTCGGAAACCTGTTCCCTCGGCGGAAGATCCCAAAGCGACGTTAGCTGCAGTGCGAGTCCTTACCAGCCACGTAAACCTGCCGCCGCTGTCCAGTGTCTTTGTCCCCGTCGGGACCGACGAAGCCACCTGCGGGATAGCACTGTTGGAAGGAAGCCCCCAACTTCTCCTCGGACGAGGGATTGGCATTGCAAGAGCCGTAACCGAGCTCCAGGACGGGCGTACAGTAGCCCTTGTCACCAATTTCCGGCAAGAGTCGCAGCACCTTACAAAGGGTACAACTGTGGGCTACGTCGAGGAAATTGAAGACTCAGCCGCGATCGCCGTGATCTCAGAAGACGCCTCTCCGACGCAGAACAAGACAATCACGTCCTCAGAGCTCGACATCGACCCATCCCTCCCAGCCCCACAACGACGACAACTTCGTGACCTTCTCGCCGAGTTCAGTGAGTGCTTCTCCACGTCGTCGAAAGTGCGCCAAACGACGGTTGCGAAACATCGGATAATTACTGATGACGACGCACTCCCTGTGCATCGGCCGCCGTACAGGGTCTCCGTGAAAGAAAGGGAAGCCATCCAGCAGCAGGTACAAGAAATGCTTGACGACGGCATTGTCCAGCCCTCAAGCAGTCCGTGGGCTTCACCGGTAGTCCTGGTGAAAAAGAAAGACGGGACTCTTCGGTTCTGCGTGGACTATCGCCGACTGAACGCCGTAACAAAAAAGGACGTCTACCCACTGCCACGCATCGACGACACCCTGGACCGACTACGCCACGCCCGATACTTTTCGTCGATGGACTTGAAGAGCGGGTACTGGCAGATTGAGGTCGACGAACGAGATCGTGAGAAGACGGCCTTCGTCACGCCGGACGGACTGTATGAGTTTAAAGTAATGCCATTCGGGCTGTGCACAGCGCCGGCAACCTTCCAGCGCGTTATGGACACCGTCCTTGCCGGCTTGAAATGGCAAAGCTGTCTCGTCTACCTCGACGACGTTGTGGTCTTCGCAAGCGAATTCGACGAGCACCTGAGACGACTGCGAGCCGTTCTACAGGCCTTCAAAGCTGCTGGGCTGACCCTCAAGCCTTCCAAGTGTCGGTTCGCCTATGGTGAGCTCAAATTCTTGGGCCACGTCGTGAGTGCTCAGGGTGTAAGCTCTGATCCCGCCAAGACGTCCGCTGTCGCCGAGTTCCCGAAGCCATCGGACAAGAAGACCGTTCGAAGATTCCTTGGGCTGTGCGCCTATTACAGACGTTTCGTTCGTGATTTTGCGCAAATTTCTGCACCGCTGACGCATCTGACGAAAGACGACGTGCAGTTCCAGTGGGGAGAGGAGCAAGAGCAAGCGTTCGACGAACTCAAGCGAAGGCTCCAGTCGCCCCCTATCCTCGGACATTTTGACCAGTCGGCGGAGACTGAAATCCACACGGACGCCAGCAATACCGGTCTCGGTGCGGTACTCGTTCAGCGACAAGAAGGGGCAGAGAGAGTAATCGCTTACGCAAGCCGGGCGCTGTCTAAGGCAGAACAAAATTATTCAACGACCGACAAAGAATGTCTTGCTGTCGTCTGGGCGATAACCAAGTTCCGCCCGTACTTGTACGGGATCCCGTTTCGCGTGGTCACAGACCACCACGCCCTCTGCTGACACGCCGACTTCGACGCCCGCGACGCTCTGCTTTCTTCTGTTTCCTTCTTTATTTTTGGCACAAGTTCGCCACATTAAACGTTTATTTATTTCTGTTTATTTCTTGTTTATTGGTCACGACTCACCACCCGTGACAATATCTTGCATCCGCTTTAGGCATTCTTCGGTTCTGGTTTTCCTACGGGCTACGCCTAAACAGGATTTTTTTTTTCTGTGTGTGTGTGCGTGAGGGGCTAGTCTGAACGAAGGACTCACAAAGTTACATTCTGCTTTCTCAAACTTCGCCCTGAATGGCCTTTGTCCCGCACTGTGGCTTCCCTGGGGCTTCCCACTCCCCCCCCCCCCCCCCCCCAGTCCCAGCTCGAAAAAACAAACAAAAAAAAAAAAAAACGGACATTCCACAGAAACTGTACGTAGAAAGAAATTAACCTCGTTTCCTACAGCTCCGCAAAAATCTTTGTTTTTCCCGTTCAAAAAAAAAAATATTTTTGTCATTTCATAAAAAAAAATAAAAGCATGTGCCGGGGGGGGTGGGGGGGGGGGGGGGGGTCCCATGGACAAATTGTAACGATTACAAGTAATTTATTACTTCAAAAAGTAATTAGATTACTCTTGTGATTACTGCCGAATAAAAGTAATCAAGTGATTACAAAATTTCTCCAAAAAGTAATCGATTACAAGTAATTTGATTGCTTGTAATGCGTGCGGTACAAGTCTGGAGGAGAGGCATATGACAGTCACCCCGCCGCGGTGAGACGCTTAAACGCGCTTCTCCCAAGCGATGGAATGTCCGCTCGTGCTCCTTGCGTTTTTCGCGCTACCGCTTCTTTTCTCGTCGGGTTTGAAAACAATGTCTCGGGTCTTCGCCGCTGCAGAAGCTGTGCGCTGAATACCAGAAATCCCCTCTGCAACCAGATCCTCGCGCTCCAAATCTATCTGCGACCGGGCAGTCATGGCTCCGTCGTTGTACTGCCAGGCTTTGTGAGTATAAAGGAGGCTATGGCTGAACCAAACATTTCCGTGTCTATAATAAGCGACGCAGATCTTTCCACAAGTCAGCAGACGCCGGTGTGCGCGAGGACACGCAACGAAATTGACGTCATAGTCCTCCATTCACACTTAAGGTGAAACCCCATCCTTGGTTAGTGTGATTCCGAACCAACAAATGGCGATGGGGATCGCCTTTCAGACCCGTGCATGAACGCAAAATATCGTGTGTGGTGACGCTTCCGTACAGTGCGATATTTTTCTTTCACCTAAAATTTACATCCCTGGCCGTTCACTTCGTTTTCGATGCGCGAGCTTTGTGTGGAACGCTGCCCGGCTGCACTGGTTCTCGTGCAAAGGAAGCAGTTGCCTACATTGTGACCTCGCGTCTCCAGCAAATGTGTTCTGAATAAGCTGGGAAAATTGTTTCGGCATATTCCCTCACCTTCCCTTATTTCTGTGGCAATGAAATGACCCCTGAATCTGAATCACGGGGTAATGGCGAGGCACCTGCACGACAATAGAACCGACTCGTCGAAAACTTGAGAATAGCGGTGCGCATGTATCAGCCTGTGCATCGCAGAGGCCAATTACACATATTCGTGTCGGCCTCTGACATGTCTGACATATACGTCAGATTCGTATGACGTGTCGGCCATTTTGTCGTGAAGTTTTTCGGCACTTCAGTTTGAGTACTTTCAGTACTAAATATAATATAGCTCAAGTGTATAAGGGTATATAAATGGTCTTTTCAGAATTAGTTTCGGTATGAGGGATAATTGATCGCGTAACACGGACATCTGAAGAGCGTAGATCATAATTTTTTGAGACTCGTAAGGGACGCCCACATCCCCCCCCCCCTCTTAAAAAAACAATAGAAACACTTATGCACACTATGTCTTAACAGTCTAAAATGACGTGTCCAATTTCTTCTGCTTTTTTATATCACGTGTTTGTCTGGTTCTGCAAGTGCTAACCTTAAATGAATTAACGTATCAAAAGCGTATTACTATACACCTAAAACGTTTTGAGTGTCTGCGCAGGCCACCATTTCTAAAAATAGTTCTAGCAGGTATTGCCGATGGCTCTGTTACATACTCGTACACCATGAAAGACGCCATCGCGGCCATTTCCGTTTGCTACTCAGCGTGCTTTTCACTCGTAGGTTACGACGTGGGCATGAACGACCCCCTGGACCAGATTTCGAGAATGTACCATAGACTTGGAATTCGCGACCACCGATGGCAGGGAGACGGCATCTCAAACTGCCTCAGCGTTCTATGGCCAATGGGGAGACTACGCCAAGCGCTTGACTTTCGAGACTCGGCCAAAGGCTACGTCGACAAGGTCTACCGCTGGACCGTCGACCGTCCGGTGGCCATTTGGAGGATTATAAGGTTTGGGCGCCGATCGAAGATGCATTTAAACGAAGGAAGTATAGTGCTGGAAGAAAGATGATCAAAATACATATATTGTGGATCATTATAGGGGTCTTGAAACGATATCATATCGGGTTGGATTGTTCATGACTTTGCAGAGGCTCACGGGTCCTAGCCTAACCCAAGTATACTGGAACAGACCGCCATTGATTTAGAAGCTTCTTTGTCGCGGTGAAATTACGAGGATAAAAAGGGACTATTTCTTTCAGTCTCGCCTTTGCGAAGCTTGACGACGTAATTGTGAGATCAAAACCACCCGCCTGATGACAGTCGAGCGCGGCTCAAGGTTTGGACACGGGAACTGCGTGAGCACTCGACTTGGGCTCGTAACAATCAATTTCTCGGCGGACACTCGGGTACTGGCTCGTGTCCAACCACTGGGTTATGAGAATAGCCGAACTCTAACAATGCCTGGAGCTTAGCTCGCGTTTTCTAGTTTGCCAACCCCAGCGCGTGTCTATGATTAACGCTGGCAGCATAGGATAGGCACCAGGCCACGTGGCCCCTTGTTCTGGCTCCGAGTTGAGTAAACAAACAATTCTCATATTTCTTGATTTTTTTTTTTTTTTTTGGCGGCTGCCACTGCTTAGAAAGACACACTAAGTCAAGATTATTCAGTTATTAACGTTAGGGAGTGATTCTAAGTATAATTAATCGTAAATAAAAAAAATGTTTTCTAGACCCTTATAAGAACTAGTAAGCGTTTTTACCTAGTATCTGAACAAGGCAAACCAGTAAAAAAGAATACAATGACGCTATGAAAAAGCGAATGTGTATATTATTTGTTTTCGGCATGCCGTGATACCATATCTTTGTACGCATTTTAAAGGAAATCACTTTTTAGACGTGGTAAAAACATTAAAAAGAGTTACGGTAGTCAAGAATCATTGTTCCGGACCAGCACCTAATACAGAAACAAAGGAAAAATTCATAGTTGCATGTGGTTTGCGTTCAACAATAAATTTGAAAAGTGTTCAGCAAAAAAAAAAAGAATATATATATATATATATATATATATATATATATATATATATATATATATATATATATATATATATTCACGAGCGGCGCTTGTGAGTGCGGCAGACAAGACCGTAAATATTTACCTCAGTTACGTGAGCTAATGGCTGTCAAACCGATTTAAATGTTGGATTTATCGTTTTATGCCCCCGTCGGGACGGGAAAGTAAATGTCATTTTGATCGAATGTCATTCACCACTCGGCGAATCAGCTCGTCATGCTGGTTCTGCACGTGGCGCGTGCACGCGCAGCGTGTCGTATTTAAACACGCGGATTGGCCGAGCTGCAACGTCATTTCGCTTAAATGTCATTTAACGTGCCCGTCTGATAGGGGTATTACAGGAGTGACTCCAGCTAGGTCTTCTTTGTACCTGTTTGCTCTGAGATAAACGAACGATTTATCTGTTTATGCTTTTACTATTTCGTGTTTGTGTGCGTGCGTGCGTGTGCGTGTGTGTATGTGCACGTCTTTCCATAGGTGCTGACATACTACTTGGGGCTGGGTACTCCTAAGTTTGAGCCAGATATTTCATTAGGGTCACCTTTACGACGTAGCGGTAGCATTAGTAGTGTGAGTCATAATTTCCATTTCGTACTTACACACTGAATCTTTTTTTTAAATCTTTTTCACTGAGGACAGATAAAACAATACGAACTGCGGCACTGTAACGCATGCGCTAAGTTTTGTGACAACTTTATGGGATTAAGGCTGATATGAGATAATAAATCGAAATGTTATTTGGTAATAGTTGGCAAAAGTGTCATCGTATAATACATTTTGTGGTCGATAAATATCGGTGCATTCGTTTATGCACCAATACTCGTATACCTAAACTTCCAACCATTGGTTTTCGCCATGGCCACAGGATCGTTTATGCCAGCCAATAGGAGTGAGGCGTCACCCGCGATAAAGACCTGCTGCGTCGGTGACACTATTACAATGGCCACGCAAGTTAAAAATGTACGTTAATAAAATCCGCTACATTTGGAGAGCCAGACATTAGGGAGTTTTCGCAGACCACGTTTCCCCCTCCGCTAAGCCCTCCGCGACGAAGAAGTTGCTACTGCGCCTGCGCGCCGATAGCCTTGACTGTGGAGGTCCGGGTATATCGTAGCGGGTTGCGGAGGGCGTTGCGGGACGGCGAAAACGATCTACCAAAACTCCCTATTAGGAAGTTTTCGCAGACCGCTTTCGCACCTCCGCTACTCTCTTCGGAACGTAGACGCCACTACTGCGCTTGCGCGGCGCTAGCCTTACCTGCAGAGTCCCGGGTCTCGTGGCGTGTGGCGGGGAACGTTGCGGGGCAGCGGGAACCATCTGCGAAAACTCCCTATTAGGGAGTTTTCGTAGACCGTTTTCGCCATTCGGCAACGCCCTCCGCAACCCGCTACGATACCCGGAACTCTACAGTCAAGGCTAACGGCGCGCAGGCGCAGTAGCAACTTCTTCGTCGCGGAGGGCGTAGCGGAGGGGGAAACGCGGTCCACGAAACTCCCTATTGTCCACCAAATTCAGCGGACGTGTGGCGTTCTTTTCGAGAAGCTGGAAAGTGCGGTTCTCCCCCCGAACGCAGTATTAAAAATATATTCCAAGCGTATACATCATGACTTCTGTCCCTGGATGTCGTGGTTGCCCTGCATTCTTTCTAGCCTCTCACAAGTGCGGATTAGTTTTGGCACAAAGCATTGTACATTAAACTATGATCAATACTTTGAGTGGATGGCATGATCTGCAGCTATGTTTTTTTAAAACGGAGTCGTGAAGTGGGTTGCATTATCACAAACGGATGTTTTAAAATGCAGGCGTAAAGTAGACGGCATCATCACAAACCGCCCTGAACGTGTCCTGTCGGTCCTGCAGAAGTCCTCGGTAGGTTCCAGAGTGAGGCCGGCTGATATTCGCGACAGTCCCTGGGACAGAATACGCTCTGAGAAAAGTAAGAACGACGACCTGGAACAAGATTCGGAGCAAGACACTCTGGGAGATGACTGACTTTAGAGCATAGATCGACTGGAACGAAAAATAAAGGCACGGAAAGCAATCACACCGATCAACCTTTTTTAAGCGAAAGGTTAAAGGTTAGTAAAAACAAACGTTATCTGACAGACTGGAGGTAGTTTATGCTTACTTTTAGTGCAATTGAAAAAAAAAAACAAGAAAAAAAAAACGCTGTCAAATTGTTTTGTAGTTAAGAAACGACCTTACTCAATTCAGCGTTTTGATTGAAATAAACCATCCTTAATATGGTTTTAAGCAAAAACATTGCATTTTTTCAGCGATATATATGCACCCAACGTGTAAAGTTGCTCACTAAGCAAACAGTTAGGTTCATGAATGAAGAACATGAAGATCCTGTGCGTGAAACGAGGGTAAAAACGGAAACAAAGAAAGCGAAGGAAAGCACGTGGAGAGAGCAATTGATGACAAGCTGGAAGCGCCCCAGATGGCTTCAGGGTCGCGCCTGAAACCTGGCTGTGCCGCACCTCCCACGCTTCTTGACCGCACCTGGAGCCTCCTAAAGACACTAAATATGGTACGCTTAGAGAATCGGCACTCAATTCTCAGATTTTTTTTTTTTTTTTGGGGGGGGGGGGGGGGGACGCCGCCGTTATGGTGCTTAGTTCCAAGCGGACACTATTGGCGGTCATTACCAGTCTTGTATACGTTTCTAAAAAAAAAGCTAATTAATTAAAATTGGAATTACTCTCGGTTAAAATGTATTCAGTTGAAGTTTGTTTAGATAGCGATAATAATAAGGGTGTCATGCCTATTTTTTTTATTTTCAATTAAGTTTTAAATGAGCTACCAAAACGTGTCCACGCAGCGGAACCAACCTTACTTTTGTTGCAAAAATCTGTGTTCTTTTCGTTTAAAGAAAATTATGTCTGAGAGGAGATAGGACAGGGATTGTCTAAATTGCACTAGACGCAAATTTGAAGCCAACGGGAATGAAAAATGCAATTTTCTACAGCGTAAGTATGTTTATTTATAAAGAGCGCCAATTGGTCTGCATGCAGTGAGTTCCCTACACACCCCCTTGTTTTTCTGAAGGCACCCCCTTAATTCGTAACAACTCCTCTGTCCTCAATGCCTTAAAAAGACCCCCCCCCCCCCCCCCCCCCCAGCCCACTCCCCTAATTTCAATTCCTGGGGAAACTCCTGTGTGCATGAGATAATTATATTAAGTTATATAGATTTATATTTATTAAGTAATATAAAATGACGAACTTGGCCTCCTGCGCAACCCTTCCATATTTAAAGGGATACTGAACCGAAAATTGCATTTCGCAAAGTAAGGCTGCAGAAGTGTTGAACCGAACGCTACGAACTCCAGAACATCACTCGTACATCGATATCTCAAACGGATGGCCGTACTTTTGCAAAAAGAAGGGCGCGATCAAGCGATTTCTTTGACGTAACTGTCCTCCGGGAGAATTTGAGAATGAGGAGAAGCGGCCTCGCTTCTCTCCTCCTCGCTTCGGTTCACCAGCTTGGCGGGACGTAGCGAGGAGGAGAGACAATGAGAATCGTGACGTGCCTTGTCTCGTCGGCCTCGTCGGCCGGGTGCAATCGCGCACTTCTTTTCCAGAAAATACGGCGATCCGTTAGATATATCGCCGTATGAGTGAAATTTTTTGGTTTTGCAGCTTCCCGCCTATCCCCCCGGCCTTATTTAATGAGGTCGAAATAGCGCTCAGTATCCCTTTATACATTTTCGGCATTTTTTTCGAACTGACTTTACAGTTCAATTTTTTTAAGCTGACACTTTTTGTACAGAGTGTTTCTGTTCTTTTTTTGTGCTTTGTTTACTTTTAAGAAAAGTTAGCGCTCTAGTATTGTAACCGTCTTTTGCATCGATCCCAAAAATGTTCTAAATATCAAAAACTTCGAAATTGTGAAATGTTTGAGCGGCCATTAAAAGAAATCATCCTCGATTTTGTTTATATTTACTTCTCTGAATTAACCCTTGAAAGTCGGTTATTTCTAAATCCGCAAAAACATATGGCATTATATTGTTTTAAGCTAGAAAAAAATACTTTTAGCCAGGTATATATGTTGAAGCCAATAACAGTTGAAGGGTTGCTGTCTCAATTACTGTGGTGGTACTCGAGAACCGCATTCACAGTGGCCGTACTTGGCCGCATTATCTACCAAACAAACACGGAGCATTATATTAAAAAAAGAAAAAACTTTTTTTATCATTAGGGATGGGGCTGATAGTGGCTATTAAAACTGGACTTTTGGACAAATTAGGCCATGAGGGTTTGGTGATTCCGCTGCACTAGTTTCCCAAAGTAGTACATTTAATGTGGGTAGTCTACTGACCAAACGGTTCGACCAATTTATCTGGACATTGCTATACTCCCTTTCCAATTGCGATGGACTGTAGTGATGTTAATTTATCGTATCATTAGTGACAATACGTCACTGCGCACCTCTCCAACGACACGTGAAACTCACACAGCATTGGATCAACTGCGTGGTTCGTAGCGTCGTCAGTGGTCCATCGTAAGGTAAAGCGGAGCATACGAACGCCAGACGTTAGGAATCGTGATGCCCTCCGTGTCCTCTACTTTCTTTGTTTGTTCTGTTTTGTTTGTAAAAATGTGTAGCGAGTTCTGTCTTGATGAGATCATGTTGAACCCACATTCCGCCACCTTCATTCGGAGCACACTCGGCGAGTGTGCTCTAATGAAGCACACTCGCCGAGTGTGCTTCATTCGACAAGAAAGGCGTCCCAGTGTAGTTGAGTTCTCTTTGTCCGCGTTTTACCGCAGGGATAAACTGGTTACAAGCGCGTGTTCTTCACCAGCGCAATCACCAGTGCTGGCAAGTTGTGTAATTAAAGAGGATTACGAATTAATTCGAACAATGGCTAAAGTACAACAAGGTATCCTTGCGTTTGACTCAAATAGGCGGCTCAATAGTTTGTTGTTCATTTTGCTTTTCTTTATTTCAGAATGCACTATCACTTAGGAAGGCAGTTTAATGTTATAATGTATACTTTATCGAGATATGCAAGGTCATTATTGTGGAAGCGAAGAACAGCGCTTTACCGCAGCACACGTGATGGTCAAATTCGGTACCTACTAAAACGAAAGCCCCTCTACCCTGGGAAAAGTGGCGCCATTCATTGTTGTAGGAATGCTCGAGGCCCGTGCCGCGCGCCAGTTCTGGGAAATTCATGGCGTCTGAAATCTAGCCTTGTTCTGCGCTGTGCCGCCATGATCTTCCCAAGGGCAGCACGTTGCACGTGCCTCGTGCATCGACGAACATTGCGCTACTTTACTAAAACGCCTCGTGGTTTGCGTAATACCGGGAGTGGTTCAATGCATAATAAGGATTAGCGATGGGAGCGGTATAGGGCGGTATGTAAGAAAGAAGATAAAGATGATAAAAAAAAGCAAAACACTCATTGATGCGAGATTTGCTTTGTAGGATGTGCCATTAGATATCCAGATGAGATTATACTTCCTCTCCTGCTCAGATATCAGTGCTGCAGTCGATTCAGACCGACGGCGAACAATGAAGTCAGAACACGAAGCAGTAAACAAGTTATCAATAACGCGCCTTGCAGCGACTCCCCAAGAGCGGCAAGCTTTATTTATTTATTTATTTATTGTGATGAATCCATCGCCTCAAGGGGTATTTAGTAGACTAGAGAAGGCACGTACAGAAAAATATTCACTGTACATAACATTCAAAACACAACCGTAATTATAATAAAATACAACGATGTTTAAAGAAGTATCTTGTTTGGACAAACAGGCTGTTTTCCGTATTCTTTAGAACAGTAAAAAAAAAAAATGTTAAAACTAAGCTGCCTTTAACAAAAAAAAAAAAAAAGCTTAGTTTTTGCGATGGCAATATCGGTGCTTTTTCGCGTTTTACTCAATCGGGTATTGAGAAGCGTCCTACTTACCGCTCAAACATTTTCCTCTTTTTCCCGAAAGAAGCCTTTTACATTCCACTACTTGTTTTATGACAGTTATCTTTTTTTTTAATTTTATAGAAAGCAAAGTACAAGCCATCGCTTCCTCGTGATATCAGTCTCGCGCATTGTAACGCTTTGCACTTTTTGTTTTAAATTATATCTCAGTAACGTTTACCACGTGGCGGTCAGTGCTGTATCAGCAAAATAAAGAAAAAATAACGATTTAAAAAAATCTACTGAATCATGTTTATTTTATTTAAATCGGATAAATTCGATCTAAATTACCAAAGCTAGAAAATTGATTCTTTAACACTGTACAGATGTATTTCTCAACATGGCAGATTGATTGATCAATTCGTCCGATCACTCATAGCGATGCGGAACAAAGAATTGCTGGAAAGGTAAAGTACATTTTAATTACTCCTTTTTATTAAAGTAATTCCCACCATACTAAAACAAAAACTGGCAAAAATTATTAAGATTCAAATCTGAATTTTTTTTGCTCGTTTTGTTTTGGTTGTTATGTGACGAAGTTTCAAAAAACGTCGTCCAGTTTATTTTCTGTCCCTTCTAGGTTTTGATGTTTCTTCTCTACCTCAGTTTCAGGTTAATTCAGCATGGTTAATATTCACCAGCTCGCCTGCACCCTTACGATATTTTTTATAACCATAAGACATGTGCTACGTAGGCTTACCATAGGTGTACAGGTCAAGGTGCAAAGGGCGACAGAGTCAATTATCACTTGTTTGATTGAAAGTCAAGCTATAAAAAGTTTGGGGCCTGCATCTCACTCCGAATTGCATTGATATAACTCTTCCCTTCTGCTATCACTCTAAAAAAGCCCGTGCGTCAACTTTCCCGCACAACACTCTGAGATCCAACCACCGCAGCTTACGGAAGCAGCTCAGCGAATGACGATGCCGAAACATATGTTTAGAGCGAAAAACGCAGTTTGAGTTGTGACATAAAGCAATGCAAGCGTGACGTTTTTCATTGCTTAAAAAGCCTCTGACACGCGAAAAATTTTTTGTTCATGCTAGGCATTGAAATGGCATAT